GCTGATGGGCACTGGAATTCCATCGTGGGTATAGACTACATCTTGCCAATCTGGTTTTGTGCAATGACAGGAGGCAGCTGAGTTGAACCAGGGCTTGTTATGAGCACTAATAGCAGCTTTAATCTGATTTAGTTGTTCAAGCATTATCTTATTCACGTACTTTCATCTGCCAATTAACTTAGCATAATACATGTTATTTCTTTTTCCTATTTTATCTTTCGAGATAACACATGCAAAAAATAATTTTTTGCTCCATAATGCTTACACTTATTTTTTTGTTTTTTTTTTTACAGTAGGAAGGCAAGAAATTAAGTTTAATGAGGAGGAGAGAGGAGTTTGTCTAGCCCCTACCAATGCTTACACTTATTTTTTTGTTTTTTTTTTTACAGTAGGAAGGCAAGAAATTAAGTTTAATGAGGAGGAGAGAGGAGTTTGTCTAGCCCCTACCATGCTTAATTGACTTTGCTTTAACAAAGTTAGGTTGATTCAGTTTATTGAATGATCACCCTGATCCACCTTGGAATCTGAAATAATTAAATAACGGCCCTAGTGGTATATATAATGATAACAGGCAAAGGCAACTGGTAAAAGAACTAATTCTCAGCTATTGGAAGCCAATAGAACTTATAAGTTCAGAATGCATTCTCCCATCTTTTTGTTATTATAGTTTACTAACTGCTTTTAACTGGTTTTTAATGGTTGTGTTTGAATTATGTTGATTGTTTAGCTTTGTGTTTTAATTGTGTATGCCACCCAGAGTCACCCGCATGAGACGGGCAACTATATAAATTTGATAAATGAATAAATGACAACTCTAGCAATCAGATCAATCACCATCGCTATGTCCATTCAGATTAATGAGTTCAAAACAAATGTTGAGTTAGAGAGTCAGCTAAAGAATTTCTAGAGGGTTAATTATGACTGTTACAGCACATACACCGAGCGTCTTCTGGCACCTAAATGTCTGGCAGGTCCATAAAGATTAAGTTTTCATCAGATGCATACAGAAAAGGACAATATGGAAACCCCTTATGGACTTTGCTTGAGACAGAAAAAAAGGAACTTATGATTTATGGTTTTGATGATTAAACAGGCTAGATTATTGAAAGAAGAGAGTTAAGTTGTAACCATAGACTAAGAGGTAAATTTATATTCTACTTATAACTGCTGTAGAGAAGATTGGAAGCTATTTTGAAACTTTTTTTTTTCTATTTTTCTTTTACTTTCCCCCCCTTTCTTGTACTTTTGGCTTTTTCTTCAGTTTCTTTCTTTTTCTTTTCTTTTTCTTACTTTCTATTAGTTTGAATTAGTCTTTATCTTCCTTTAATTTTTTTTAAATAAAATTATATAAAAAAGATGCATACAGAAAAGGTTGCCTCTCAAGAAAACTGTGAGGTTGCACTCTTACTTCTTGGGGGGGTAACCCACTGATCTCAGCAGGATTTGACCCTAAGTAAACAAATTGTATAGGACTGAATTCACGCCTTCAGCAAAATAGTCTTTTCATGGGATCTGCAAGTTTGATTTTGACCTGAATGAGCTGGAAAGGTACAAGGAAAAAAAAAGACAACCATAATCATGAAAAAAGCAGAACAGTATTTGAAATGCCAACAACTGGCCAAGAGACTATATCTCAGAGGTATATAAAATTATGAATAGCAATCTGAAAGGGGATAGGAATTTTCCTAGCCCGCTGGCTCCAGAAGAATTGGGGGCTCCTACGGAAATTGACTGGGTAGCATTTACTGTACTCAGGGTAGGCAAACAGACATTAATCTATGGATGTTGTTTCTACAATATGTGGTGATGACCTCTGACAAGAAGAGCGATGACTTAAGTTTCTATTTGCCAAAGGAGGGAAGCTGATTTGCATTCATCCCTGGACAAATAGCAATGTTGGAGTGGGGGGCAGGGGAGAATTATCTCCTTGCTTTGCAGCACAATTTTGGTTGCAACGAGAATACAGCTTCTCATTTCTTGTTTTAAAAAGGATTAAAAACAATTATGAATAATCCATTTAGAGCAGGGTTCCTCAACCTTTACAACTTTAAGGTGTGTGGACTTCAATTCCCAGAATTCCCCAGCCAGAAGTCCACACATCTTAAAGTTGCTAAGGTTGAGAAACCCTGCTCTAGAGTATTGGTGGTAAAGTGGAGCTGGTACGAAGAAGAGACCATTATTGTTTCCATGCCCGTTAAACATTTCTTAAAAGTTTTTCTGACTGGGTTTCCCCCAGGTGTCATGGGAGTAAGAAGCACAGAAGGCTGAAGTTGTCCTACTGGAACCTTTCAGTGGTGTTGATATTATGCCATTTGTCCCAACACTCCTGTTCTCACTGCACTTGTAATTGCTGGAAAAAAATCATTCTGAGCTGTAGGTATTATCTTCTGAAAGCTCTCTTGAAAGTTCTAGATAATTTTACTAGAAGGGACACTGCAGCGTTACTGCACAATCACATGCTGATGGAGATCATCAAAACAAGCTTGGCTGATGTTAATATGATCTTATTGCATTGGTCTGTTTTACAAAGATACAGGTAGTCCTTGACTTACGACCACAATTGGGACCCAAACTTCCATTGCTAAGTGATGTGGTCATTAAGTGAGTCGCACTCGATTTTACGAACTTTTTTGCTGCAGTTAAGCGAACCATAAATGAATGGTTGTTAGGTGAATCATGCAGTCGCTAAGCGAATCCAGCTTCCCCCATTGATTTTGCTTGTCCAAAGCCCCCTGGGAAGGTCACAAATGGCGATCACAACCCCAGGATGCTGTAACCATCGTAAATACATGCTAGTTGCCAAGTGCCTGAATGTTGATCATGTGACCATGGAGATGCTGTGAAGTGCGAGGACCAGTTGTAAGTCATTCTTCTCAGCTCCGTTGTAACTTTGAGCAGTCATAAATGAATGGTTGTAAGTCGAGGATTACCTGTATTGGCTATTACCTGTATAGGCATTTTATCATATTGTTCTTATAAACTAGGGTATAATACTGCTCACATGGTGGTCATTATACACTCACACATTTAGGTTTAATGTTGTATGTGTATTTTTCTCATTGCTTACATTACTATACTTTTTTTTTTCATTTCTCAACCTTTTCTGGGTTGTGATTTTAGTTTTTGATCCTTTTTTGCTTTGTTTCACAAGGGCCAGGGGCATTCCTCTGTTTGGGCTGCATTCACAGGCAATGGCTTGCTATGTGCCAGGTTGGGGAAGAGTTTTAGAGAGGTTTTAAGAACCCGTCTGGACAACCTAATTTCAAAAGCCCCCAGTTTGGACCTCTGTGAAGAGCAATCTGCCCCTTCCCTGACAGCTTGTGCATGAAAGAGAAAGGAAAAGGGGATGTCAGAAGCAAAATAAATGAGAGAAAGAAAAGCATATGAAAGAGAAAAGAGAAAAAGAATGAGAAAAAGAAGAGAAAAAAGAAAAAGAAAAGAAAAGAATGGGAGAGAAAAGAAGAAGAGAATGGGAAAGTGAAAAGAGAAAAAAGAAAGAAAAAGAAAATGGGAGAGAAGAAAGAAAGTGAAAAGAAAAAAGAAAAGAATGGGAGAGAAAAAATAAAGAAAAGTAATGAGAAACGTAAAAGATAAAAATAAAGAAAGAGAATGAGAAAAAAGAGAAAGAGAAAAAGAAAAGAATGGGAGAAAAAAGAATGAGAAAGAAAGAAAGAAAGAAAGAAAGAAAGAAAGAAAGAAAGAAAGAAAGAAAGAAAGAAAGAAAGAAAGAAA